CTGTCTCGAATTTACGCGAGTTTTTACTAAGACGATTTTGAGATAAAAGACTATGGCGAGTAAGGCCACATTTGCAGAATTAATAAGACCCTAAGTTTGCAAATAAGCCCTGCCCAAGCAAATGGAGTATTTATATCCGGGGAATCTCGAGAACACATTTGGAAAAAATTCGCAACCTTGAGTTTGTAAAAAAGGTTTTTTTAAGTCCCATATCCGTTCTCACTCAAGATGTCTCATTTTTTTTTCGAGTGCAGTATCCAGTACGCTTATCTAGGTTGCGTTCTGAACGCTTTGTTTTTAGCTGCACATGGGTCTTTGTGAATTCATTTCATCAAAAATAGCTAAATTTTTAAAAAAAAATCGATTCTTAATCGAGCAAGCACAACCTTTATGCCTTGAGGAATGGTTGGCACTGTGGATTTTTGCGCTCCCAGCCGATTCGACCGCGACGACGACGACGACACATTTCCGGTACCGCTAAACAACGACCAGAATAGGTTATTATGAAGTTTACCCAGGATCGAAAAGCCAGAAAATGATTTCCCACACAAGACTGAGAATTTCGTGTGAATGCTCCACAGAATTATCACAGAATTTTATGAACTGAGAGATCCTCGACTTCTCCAAAATTCATTTGGCTCTTTACTAGAAAAACATCGGCCCTTACGACTTTTGTGACTTTCCACTGGTCTTCGAACTCATTGCGCTTTTCGGCATTGCTGACACGAGACAACCGACCGTTGCAATTGACCTCGACACAGTCGATTCACCTCGATTCACATTTTCCTTTTATACTCCATTGTTTCATGAATGCGCACTTCGGAATTTGAATATTTTGAGAGTAATTTGTATTTTTCCCAGTTTTGTACGAAAAACCTAGGCTGGAACGCACCAGGCGAGCCAGTGCGATCATGCGTTTTTGCACAAAACTTGAATTGGGTTATTTGCACGAACGGTTGTTTCTTCACACCTACCTTGTGTGCTTTATGCCGAAAATCATGGATATTTTGCATAAAAAGAAATAAACTATTCCCGTGTAGCGGTGTTTTTTGAAAGTAACCGAACTGTTCAATGAGTAATTTCCCCACCAGAAATTTAATTGCCCGTACACGAAAATCACGCGTAAAT